CCAGTGTCAGAACACAAACTTAGACAATAAGTGTATGACTTGTTTTGTAGTCTACCGGATATTTCCGGGTTTGCGGTTTTGTTTTGTGTATTAGATTTAAGTTCTCCATGCTGGCGTCTGATGCAGCGCATGTTTGCAGCTACAACTTAAATATTTTGTATTAATTGTCCATCCGGCCAAGAGCACATTGTAAGTTTATATTTTTGCAAATGTTTGATATGATTATAGTATGTGATTTTGCTTAAATGTCGGCATAGGTGTCATACATTGAATTTGTGTATTTTCTAGTCATTTCTAAAAATAGCAGATACCGCCAAATTTGTAGTGTACGATTTTGCATTGATATATTTGCATAGTTTGCTCAATGAGATATTGTGAGATATTGCGAGATATAATGAGATATTATTACTATGAATTTAAGTGGAATTTAGTCTAAATCTATTCCTGTAATTTTCAAAATGTATGTAAATCAGATTAATGGCAATTTATTGGTAATCTAGTCAGTATGATTGTTGCATGTATGATTGTCTGTTATTTGATTACATTTTAAGTACAAATTCATTTTTGTATGTTTCAGCCTTTCACCACGTTCTTCAATAAACTTGAAACACAGTTTGATTGGGTGGTTTATCTGCTTATACGCAGTGACAGTGAAAGGAATGCGAGCAGCCTACTCTGGACATGGCATACAGATACATGAACTCTGTTCCTGTGACCCCTGAGGATGGGGACGTTCGCCCCGAGAGACAGTTGAACACTGGTTTGAACCCTGGATCATCTAAGAGACTCAGTTTAGAGGCGGCAAAGGTGCGTCTAGATTTTGTCAAAAAGGAAAATGAACTTAAACAAATGGCACTTGATATCCAAAAACAAATGGACGAGTTATTGGCGAGAAAGCAGGTTGCAGAGGCAGAGCTATTCATGGTGGAGGAAGACCATAGGTCGGACATATCTGAATTTGATAATCTGAGTGTCGTAGATGATTTCGTTCGTGATCTTGAGCCACCACCCTCGCCATTGAATATGTTAGCGTCGGAGCTCGAACCTCAGAGACAGAACCAATGGGAACAAGCCTTTCCATCATGCCCACCTACCGTGGCCACTGCAGCTGTTCCAGTGTACACCCTGTCCAGGTTTGCAGGTGCTCCTGTGACCCCTGGCTTTCCAGCCTATATACCTACAGCAAAGGAACCGCCTGCATGGACAGATCCTGTGACCCCTGGCTTTCCAACCTATATACCCATAGCAAAGGAACCGCCTGCAAGGACAGATCCTGTGACCCCTGGCTTTCCAGCCTACATACCCACAGCAAAGGAACCGCCTGCTCCCCCTGCAGGGACAGAACCACAACCCTTGTTCACAGACTTTGCTAGATTCTGGTTCAAGAAAGACCTCGTAACCAAGATAGACTTGTTTGATGACAAGCCAGAACATTTTTTGTCGTGGAAGACCAGCTTCCTGCGAGTTATGAGTGAACTTTCTGTGACCCCAAATGAGGAACTTGATTTACTGGTTAAGTACTTAGGACCAAGTTCAAGTGTCGAAGCGAGGAACATTAAGGCTTGTCATGCTAGTGACCCTGTAGCGGGTAGACTTAACGTTTGGCGTCGTCTAGAGGAACGGTATGGAGCTCCTTCCCTTGTTGAGGCATCGATCAGGAAGAAATTAGACAATTTCAAGACTCTTGACAGTCAGGATGGAAAGGAACTGTATAAGCTTTGTGATATTCTGAACGAAATTCAGTCCCTGAAGGACAACACCATATTCGCTGATTTGTTAGCCCAGTTCAACACATCTGTCGGTATATCACCTATTGTAGCCAAGCTACCCAGGAAGCTTCAAGACAAATGGACTAACATAGCTTTCAGATACAAACAGCAGAACTGTGCACAATACCCTCCATTTGAACACTTTCTGAAATTTATCAGGGAAATGGCAGCTATGTGCAATGACCCTGGACTTGCGTACAATTTACCTAAGAAGGAAACTTATCACAACACAAGGAGTGCAGGGCACAGGAAGACTGTATCGGTGCACAAGACTAATGTTTCCAGGGACAATCAGACAGACATGGATACTAGTGATACAGGGCGACAGAAATTCACTTCAGATGTATCTACTCGATGTCCAGTACACAAGTCTAAACATTCACTGAATGAATGTGAAACCTTTAGGAAGTGGAGGTTAGACAAGCGTCGTTCGTTCTTGAGACAACACTCTATTTGTTTCAAGTGTTGTGCATCAACTCAACACCAGCAGTCCTCATGCACCAATAGTTCTCCATGTTCTGTGTGCAGGAGCACACTTCATCCTACAGCCATGCACTGGTATAGGAAGGACTCGTGTGAAGGAGAAAGTAAGGAAAGAGCACTCACCTCAGATCATGGCGGGGAGGGAACAGAGATTTCCTCGAAGTGCACTACACTGTGTGGTTTGGCCAACGGTGGACGTTCATGTGCCAAGATTGTTCTAGCGAAAGTGTTTCCATGTGACCGTCCGCAAGATGCTGTGACTGTGTATGTATTGCTCGATGATCAGAGCAACCACACCCTAGCTCGATCTGAACTTTTGAATCAACTTGGTGTCAAGTCAGATCCGATTCCGTACAGACTTAAATCATGTGCCGGAGTGACCGAGACATCTGGAAGAAGAGCAGTGGGGTTTTGTATTCAGTCGATAGATGGACAAGCCTGTCACAAGCTTCCGCCCATCATAGAGTGCAACGACATTCCAGATAACATGATGGAAATCCCGACTCCAGAAGTCGCTCGTGCCCACCCTCACTTACAACACATCGCCAAGGAACTCGACCCGCTCCGTACAGATGTCGGTATACAGCTCCTGATTGGAAGGGACTTGGTGGACGTACATCAGGTGCAAGGTCAGGTGACAGGACCCCCCTCAGCTCCCTTCGCCCAGAAGCTGAGTCTTGGATGGGTGATAATTGGTGACGTGTGTTTGGATGGTCATCACAAGCCAAGGGATCTCAGTGTTCTGAAGACCAATATTCAGCACGATGGTAGAGGAACGATATTCACCCCATGTGAAAACAGTTTTCATCTGAAGGTCCAAGGCCCTACTAACTGCAGATCCTCTCAGGCCCTAGATTTCAAGGGAGACAATGTGTTTTACACAGACAGACATGATAACAAGGTGGGCAATTCAGTGGAAGATCGTGAATTCCTGTCTTTGATGGACAAAACCTTTCAGAAGAATTCTAGTGGTAATTGGACCTCTCCACTTCCGTTCAAGGACATTCGTCCTAAGCTTACGAACAACAGAGCTCAAGTCTTCAAACGAGCTGTCAACCTTGACCAAGGTTTGAAGAGAAACCCAGAGAAACTCAAGCAGATGTGTGAATTTATGGAAAACATTTTCAACACAGGAGCAGCAGAAAGAGCCCCACAGATAGTAGATAGACATGAGTGTTGGTACATCCCGATATTTGCTGTAACTCACCCTAAGAAGCCTGGCAAAGTTCGAGCCGTATTCGATTCATCAATCGTGTACCAAGGATGCTCATTAAATGACAGTCTATTGTCCGGTCCAAACCTGACGAACAACTTACTAGGAATCTTGTTACGATTTCGCAAGGATTTGTGTGCGATAGCAGGAGACATCCAGCAGATGTTTTACCGTTTCTTTGTAAACGAAAGAGATAGAGACTACTTACGGTTCTATTGGTATGAGAACAACGATCCACATAGTCAGATGGTAGAGTACCGTATGACCGTCCATGTGTTCGGGAATCGGCCTTCCCCCGCAGTGGCAACATATGGGCTTAGACGGGCAGTACGAGACGCGGATCCCGATGTAGTCAACTTTGTACACCAGGACTTTTATGTTGATGACGCATTGATGTCTCGACCTACTCCTGCGCAAGTCACAGACCTTATGAAACGAACTCGGAAAGTACTTGATGAAGAGGGGAAAATAAGATTACATAGGATTGTGTCAAATGTACAAGAGGTTGTTGATGCGTTCCCTCCAGAGGACCTGGGTAAGGACGTGAAGGACTTGTCAATTGGTGGTGACAATGATTCGGTTCAGCACAGCCTTGGATTGGCTTGGAATCTGAGATCTGACTGTTTCGTCTTCCAGAAGCCAGATGCTGATGTTCCCTTCACTCGCCGTGGAATCCTTTCAAGGGTCAACAGTATCTTTGACCCCATTGGCTTTCTGTCTCCAGTGACGATATGTGGGAAGATGATTCTACGTGAGATGTGTACAGGGAGTCCGAGCTGGGATGATCCTTTACCAGAAGAGTACCGAGATAGATGGGAGAGTTGGAGCAAGTCCCTTGATCAGTTGAGCAGTCTACAGATTCCCAGGATGTTCGTTCCACAGTCGCTGAGCTTAGCATCAGATCCACAACTGCTGATATTTTCCGACGCATCTGAAACAGCGATTGCGGCTGCAGCTTACCTGAAGGTGAAGCAGGATGTTGGATTTGTCATGGGAAAGTCTAAACTTGCACCTCTAGCAGGGCATAGTATTCCACGACTGGAGCTGTGTGGTGCTGTACTGGCGGCAGAAATAGGAGAATTTGTGTCAGATCATCTCTCTATCCCAACGTCATCGATCCAGTATTTTACAGACAGTAAGGTTATATTGGGATACATTAAAAACAGGACAAGACGATTTTACAACTATGTAAGTAATAGGATTGCTAGGATTCATGCTGTGTCATCCCCTAGCCAGTGGAGCTACGTACCCACTCACCAGAACCCGGCTGATGCAGCAACTAGAGGATCAGTTGCGGACATTAGTAATATGTTAGACACATGGCTTGTTGGACCAGTGCAGTTTTGTTCAAGGAACCTAGCAGCATGTGAACCTGAAGTAGATTACCCACTCATCAGCCCTGACGACGATAAGGATGTTCGTCCTGAATTGAGCACCTTTAAGGCTGATGTACATGTATTGACCAACCTGCCCCCAATCGAGGATCGATTCAGTAAATTCTCTACTTGGGACAGTCTTGTGGCCGCATTTTCCACACTTCGTCATGTAGCTGCCTCCTACCGAGGTTCCAGTGACTGTACTGGTTGGCACATGTGCCAGAGCACTACTTGTGAATCGACACTCAAAGACACTGAACATTTCATAATTAGATGTGTACAAGCTCAGGCCTTTGATGCTGAAATTGAAGCAATTGAAAATAAACACAACCTACCTAGGGACAGCCGAATTCAGAATTTATCTCCCTTCATTGATGATAATGGTCTGCTCAGAGTTGGAGGTCGTTTGAACAAGCTGAAGAGTTCAGGACTTTCTTCCGTCAACCCTATTATAGTCCCCAATGGACATGTGGCAGTACTACTGGTACGTTTCATCCATAACAAGGTTTTTCACCAGGGCAGAATGAACACTGAAGGCGCTGTACGTTCTCACGGCTATTGGATCCTGGGAGCAAGGAGACTTGTATCCTCCCTCATTCATGTTTGTGTTGTGTGCCGGAAGCTCCGAAGGATGCCCCAGGAACAGAAGATGGCAGATCTCCCTGTCGATCGTCTCACCCCAGGACCCCCATTTTCCTCTGTTGGACTCGACGTTTTTGGTCCGTGGCCAGTAGTTACCAGAAAAACACGTGGTGGGTCAGCGCAGAGTAAAAGATGGGCCGTCTTGTTCACTTGCTTAACTTCCCGAGCAGTCCACATTGAAGTAATTGAGGACATGTCCAGCTCCTGTTTTATCAACGCCCTAAGACGCTTTATAGCCTTGCGTGGACCAGTAAAGCTTTTTCGCTCGGACAGGGGAACAAATTTTATTGGAGCTGTGGACGACCTTCATGTGAATGCCATCAATGTTGAAGACACTGTGATGAAGACTTACCTGAAGGAGAACAGAGCAACCTGGTTGTTTAACGCCCCTCATGCGTCACATATGGGAGGTGTATGGGAAAGAGTTGTAGGTAGTGCTCGCAGGATTTTAGACTCTATGCTGCTTCAAGACGGAGGCAAGGAATTGACACATGAAGTGCTAGTCACATTCATGGCGGAGGTGTGCGCCATACTTAACTCTCGCCCGATAGCGCTTGATACAGACCCGTCATCGCCCATGGTGCTGAGTCCAAACGTACTATTGACCCAGAAGCAGGGAGAAGTTGGATCGTTCTCGGAACATTTGGGTATCAAGGACATGTACAGAGCCAGCTGGAAACATGTTCAGGTGCTGTCTGATATGTTTTGGAAGAAGTGGCACGTTACGTACTTGGACAGTTTACAGAAGAGACAGAAGTGGTACTCGAGTAAAGAGAATCTCAAGACCGGAGATGTTGTACTCTTGCGTGAGAAGAATGTCCATAGGAATCTGTGGCCGATGGGGATAATCGAGCGCCCGATTGAGAGCAATGATGCGATGGTCCGGAAAGCTGTTGTTCGTGTCGCCAAGGACAGGAAGGTGTACACCCGACCAATAACCGAGATGGTTCTCCTACTTGAGCAGTAACCGTGTGAATTACTTTATTTCAGTTATGTAGTTATACTAGTTATGTGGTTGATAGTTTGAGATTTTTGTCCATTTTATTTAGTGAATAGTTATATCTTTGATATAAGACGGGGAGTGTAGTGTCAGCGAATCAGTTTAGGTATGACTTGTTTTGTAGTCTACCGGATATTTCCGGGTTTGCGGTTTTGTTTTGTGTATTAGAGTTAAGTTCTCCATGCTGGCGTCTGATGCAGCGCATGTTTGCAGCTACGACTTAAATATTTTGTATTTGTCCATCTGGCCAAGAGCACATTGTAAGTTTATATTTTTGCAAATGTTTGATATGATTATAGTATGTGATTTTGCTTAAATGTCGGCATAGGTGTCATACATTGAATTTGTGTATTTTCTAGTCATGTCTAAAAATAGCAGATACTGCCAAATTTGTAGTGTACGATTTTGCATTGATATATTTGCATAGTTTGCTCAATGAGATATTGTGAGATATTGCGAGATATTATGAGATATTATTACTATGAATTTAAGTGGAATTTAGTCTAAATCTATTCCTGTAATTTTCAAAATGTATGTAAATCAGATTAATGGCAATTTATTGGTAATCTAGTCAGTATATTGGTTGTATGTATGATTGTCTGTTATTTGATTACATTGTATGTACAAATTCATTTTTGTATGTTTCAGCCTTTCACCACGTTCTTCAATAAACTTGAAACACAGTTTGATTGGGTGGTTTATCTGCTTATACGCAGTGACAATAAGAGAAGACAAAAGTTAACTTGATGACTTTCTGTCAATAAAATATTTTCAAGTCATTTCTTGTACTTTATTATCATATCAGGAAAGAAGACATTTTAATTGGTAAATGAAGGAGAGAAAAATTGGAAGGGAGAAGGTGTATAGTTTACATGGTACATTTAAAGTACTATGACTAGGGTGAAGAAGGTGATTTGACTTGAATAACTGAGGCTTGGTTAACTGAGGAACAGAAACAACACAGCTCTGTGGTATGGATTATTTATGAAGAGTTATCACAGGTAGCATTTAATTTTTTGGAGAGAGAAAAAAATGATTCTAGATGTACTGAGATATCCAGGACTTTGAGATTAATGTTCAAGATAGCAAAGTTAAATGAACATGTATTAACTTGTTTTGCAAAGAATCTGTTTTTAGTAGAATTTGCTAGGGCTGTATCAATATATCGATACGTATCGATATTCAAAAAAAATTATCGTATCGAAAAATAACTTCAAAGACGTACCGGAGAGACAGTTTTCTTCTAATTTTGTTAAAAAGATGGGAATTTCGATCACCAAAGATTATATTTTACTTTTTTTTTTAATTAAAACTGCTCAATAATTAAATGATTTGTAAGGAAATAACACAGTTTTTATAATCATTACAAAATACAAAGAGAAATGTATTTGAACATGTTGATTTTACTATCATCAAAAGTTTTAGTTTGAAGTGTTATTTGTAAAGACAATGAGACAAGAACTTTAGAATGAGTAATAAAACACTTAATTATTATAAAATTTATGCATTAAAATGATTTAGAAGCCACTTCTGATAGACTTTTTTAGAATCCAATATATCGCATATCACTTTAAAAAATATTGTATCGTATCGAAAACTTTGGCTCAATACACAGCCCTAGAATTTGCTTTCTTTAATACATAGATTTTTCCAATTCTATTCTCTTATGTATAAAAAAAATTTGTATAAATTAATTATGCTCAATCAACTTTGTAAAATATTCCCAACTTCCAATGCTTCTTATTTACATTAAGTAGCTGACTCAAATAAAATTGTTTTCTCATTTATTTTACAAGAAATAACATGCTGACAGTGAATCTAATCATTTTTTTTAACTGGTTCAAGTAATGTTTCCAATTGTCTTAAAATGCTTAAATGCAAGATTATTTCATAAACTAATACCTTAAATGTATAGACTGAATTTACTTATGGATAAACCCCTTTGTAGTAAAAAACATTTTATTAGGTTTAATTTTCTTGTTTATTCTCTCATATATTTCCAAATTTGAATATTCTCAAATTATTGATTACATAAGCCAACAAATTTAATACAAAACCACAATATATGCTGAATACCCTGAAATGAAATGGTTACATATGTAAGATGTGTAACACATCATGTACAACTTTAAAGTCTACAAAATTTTAAGTTAACCATATTATACAATAAGACTACTTTTTCAAAGTTATGAAAAATTCTTTACAAAAATATGTCTTTATGCAAACGATAAATGTTACAGTTTTTTTTTTAAACATAGATTTTGCTACACTAACAGGGTATTCTGTATGACCAACTTTTCATATCAGTTCTTTACATTATCATATTTTAACAGTGGTGATTATTTTTTTTTTTTTCTGCAAGCAATGAAAAAAAATAATAATGATAATAATTAACACTACAATTCAAATATATTATTGTTCAATTTTAGGCCTGCATAAACAGATGATTAACACATGATTAATAGTTGGCCATACCAAGTTTGAACCTGACCACCCCATTTTTGGAGTATAGAAGCTAAATTGGAGAAAGTTAAATAAAGGAATTTTACCAGAGGAGAAATTTATTTTATCAGAGGTAAAATTTATAGATGGGGATAATGAATTGGTATTTTCATGTTGTGCAATCATCCTTTCAGCATTGGAATTTTTTTTTTTTAAATATTGTTTGAAAGAAAACATTTTTTTTTTCTTTTTTCCAGATAGCACATTCTGTTCATCAGTAAAGGAAACATATACACAGCCTTCTACATATTGTCCAGGACCAGAAGAAGAAGCCAGTGGTGTTTTATAATTGAAAACCTCAGTGACATCTCTTCAGAATTTTTTTTCTAGACCTTTGAAATTTTAAACTAAAAAAAATCATAACATGTATATCTCAGAGAGAAGACTTGATATTGGAAGATAGGCATACTTGTTTTAAAACTATCAGAGAATTTTGCTCATCAGAAACTGCAAAAGATACTATTTGTACAACCCTGTGCAACACTAACTGGAGGTCATAGATACAGAAAAAGACAAACCTACCAATGCAAAACAGAGGTAATTCATACTACATGTTCATAGCTTATATCTGAAGACTAATCATAAAAATCATTGCCTGTTTAATATAATATCTATGAAGTTTTTAGAATGAGAAGATTTTTTTTTCCTGCAATAAATTAAAAGTTCTGAAAAAATAAAAAGACATACCAGAAATATTCATGCATATTACCATTGAATAGAAAAAAAAAAACCCTGATCTTTAAAATTGTTAAGCTGTACAAAAGTTATCATTCCAGGAAATTTAAAAAATGTTGATGCATCTATACTCACATTAAAAAACATTTTAATTGTTTAATATTGTTTTTTTTTTTTTTTTTGCTTGAGGGATGAGACATTAATTAGTGAAGGGAAATTATTTATTTTAACTCTACCAAATAATATATATATATATATATCTTTTTTAAAAAATGGTGCATGTTTTGATTTTCATGTTCAACTTTGTCTTTTTTTTTTATGAGAAAAAACAAAAACAACAACAACAAAACATGAAGTGGGAAAAAAAAAAACCCTTGCAGGAAAAACAGTTGGGATATGATGAGAGTTCATACTCATGCAGATTTTCTTTTATAGTATTACCAAGAATTGAGAAAAAAAAAAGGTAAGAAGATAAAAATGACATTAAAAAGAGAAAAAACAGAGAAAAAATTCCATGAATTTTTTAAACCTGAATAAAACCATTTGATTTTTTGTCTGTTAACAAAAACAGCCTTTTTGAAAAGTCGATTATCCCCCTTTAACCATAGATTATTTTTCAAAACACAAAACAGGAGTTGGGTATTCAGTATAGAATGGGAAGGAAATGTAAATAAATGTAAATGATTTAAATGACATTTTTAAGGTATAGTGATCAATGGTATGCCTCATCTTTCTGTATTGTTAAAAATGAAAGATGATTTTTTAACTTTTATAAAAGTTACATATTATCTAAAATCACATTTAAACTTTGCTAGAAAAAAGAAAACTACCAAGAATTTTTAAAAAATGAAAACCGTTTGTACCTACAAGTAATACTCATCTACCTCATTGCTTTCAATGAGTTATGGAGTTTGAGAAAACATGTCTTCTGAAGAAAAAAAAATTAATGAGAGAAGTGAGAATTTTTCTTTTACAACAGAAAAATAAAAACCTATTTAATATCAAAAACTGTGTCATGAACATGTTTTTTAGGACCTAAAATTAAAAAAGACTAGGATGGGATTTTATGCACAATATACATACATATCACAAAATATATTCAAAAAATCACTCTTACATTCCTCTTAATATTTGGGTTTTTTTTTCCCATGACAGTTTCACAGAAAAGTATAAATTCAAGGTGTGAAATTAAAAATATTTAGTAGTGTTGTTGTCTCAACCATGGGTAACACCTTTAGGAAGCAAAAGAGTAAAGGAATGAGTAAAATTCAGTTTGGCCAGAGAGTTCTTTTAGAGAAAGATGTAGACAAAGGTATACCAATTCAATTACATGATGATGGGGCTATTGAGATCATTTCTCAACAAGAATATATCCAATTATGTCCAAAAAAGAGTGATCCTAATGATGCGAGAGATTACATAGCAAAACCCTTGATTACAGAAGAAGTCAATGAGGAATATAACCCTTTATTACCCATAGAGGGTGAGGGTAACCTGGATTACCCTGAAAGACCCTTGACTAGAGAAGAAGCCAAGTTTATAGATGATAAGAAAAAAGAAATGTCAGAAAAAAGATTGATAAAAAGACCCAGGGATTTTAAACCCACAGACGAGAAGAGTCCACAAATAATGAAAGAAGTCAACACTCAACGCTTGGAAGATATTAAGACTCATTATCAAAACAAACAGAAAGAAAATACAGGTAATCTTTATATTGCTCAGTTAAAAATAGACAGATTTAGAATAGCCAAAAATTGGATATTTGATTTAACTGGGTGCAGACAGGAAGATGTAGATCAAATCATTAGAAGTGATTATCAATACTTGATCTTACAAAAAGAAAGGCATCCAGAAACTGGAAAACTTCATCATGTGAGAGGATTCATTCAAATGAAATACAGCTGTCATGAGAGATACATGTACAAAAAGATTCATGGGTTAACTTGTTTTGACATGTCTCAAAGTACCCCAGAATTGGTAAGAACCTTTTATAGACAAGGTGACTATGAAGAATATGGGGTTCTTAAATCTGAAGTGAGAAACAGAGAATTAGTTCCAAGAGATTGTAGATTTACCTGAATATTTAAAAAAAAAACTATTGAATATACCCCACACTTATGACAAAATAGGTGTACATTCTTCATCCACATTAAGTGTATGTGTATGTGTTATTGTTTGATGAAAAAAAAATAAAAATGTGTGTTTTAATGTGAATTTAATTTTCAAAAAGAGGGGAATTATTATTATTATTATTATTAAAAAGTTAAAAGAAAAACATTTATAAGTTTTTAAAAAGTTATAATTTTTTTTTTTTTTTCTTTTGAAAAAGTGACCTGGTGTTATAACTTGAGAGAAACATACACACAATGTTTCTTGTTTTTACCCACTGTATAAGAAGGTAATCTTTTTTTTTTTTTTTTTACCCACTGTATAAGGTACTCTTTTCTTTTTGAACACACACAAACGTTTCTTTTCTTTTGACTATTAAAAAAGATCC